AGATGTAGATTATATACTGTGTATAATTTGAATTATACACCAACAACTTTGGGGGTACAAAGTTGAAGAGAAATTATATCTGGGGGTACGCGAAGACATCTTAGGGGGTACGTGAAATTTAAAAAAAATTATATTATTTTATGATAAACACTGAATAATCAGTAATGTAATTTATTTAATTTATTTTAGATGTAGATTATATACTATGTATAACTTGAATTATACACCAACAACTTTGGGGGTACAAAGTTGAAGAGAAATTATATCTGGGGGGTACGCGAACAAAAAAGGTTGAATACCACTGGTCTAGTAGAATCGGTGTCAATTTCATATAAATTTCACACCTTCGTCATTCAACGTTTTCAGTCGAAAAGTGTACTTTACGAAATCGAATTTCAAACCTCCGTCGTCTAACCTCACCATCGGATGGTCGCGATAATGACACGACGTTCTGCAATGGAACGGTTCAATCTCGTGGCCAACATAATGCAACTTATGACGTAATGGAACGGTTCAATCTCGTGGCCAACTTCTGCTGTATCAGCTCAAAGCGTGATCTTCGGACTTTCGGCAATGACTGCAGTTCTATGTAAGAGCTCGAGGATAAGATAAGGCTACAGATGGATACGCAGTTGAAGGCTTGGAGCTGAGTCTACAGATACTGATAACAAGCAAGAAATATTTTCCAACACAAAACGTACGTCGTGGTCTCTCAGAGGACTAAATAATCCATCCATATCGGTATTATTAAAGTCCAAATCACAGAGCTTCACGTTCTTAAACTTTCTCCAACGTATGTATCTGTAACAGTCAAATAAGCTCGAAGATATTTTGCGTCCCCACAAATCTTGGTTCCAGATGTTCAAAACCTGAATTCGCTGTCTAATTGTGAGCAATTTCGAAACGTGAACAAATCAGGTAAAGGTTTGTGACTTGAGGTAGACAAGAGTTCGTACCACAACGCAAGGATTCTCACCACGATGATCCAAGTTCGCTCTCAGAGCACTCTATGTGGCATTTGTTGACAAATTTTTCGATTTTACCCCATCATTTCTCCATATTCATCAGCTGGGAGATGTACAATGGACGTGTTATCTGTAGCATATCCACAGACAGTCTCACCATTTCTTTACGGCTAACAAAAAAAGTCGAATGAACTTTATAGGTTATTCGGGATTGTCGACTCATTAAACAAAGAACGTCTTTCTTTAGAATATTTTCTAACCTCGATTACTAGTAGAATTTCGCCCACTCAAAAATATTTGTCGTGACTCGTAGAATCTGAAACTGAGACGCAGGGAAGTCATTAGTACTCTCCGAGCGGGAATCTGACTCGACCTTGAAGCTATGACGTCACGTTAAATGCTGCCCTGAAAACATTTCCCTTTACTACAAAAATATCCCCGCTGTTGGGGGAAATATGAATGCTGTGTGTGAGTTACGAGTGACCACACTAAGATATTCCATACAAAGAAAAAATGCTGAAAATAAAAGAATTATCTAAAACACCAGAAAGGCGAGACCAAGAGTCGGATGATGTTTCTACACTGCGTATTACAACGGCTGTGCGCCTGCGCAGAAGGTTACTTCTGTTTGAAGGTCGCGTCACCTCAGCTCATTTGTTTTAAAGGCTTGGTGTACAAACATTTAGTACAGAAAACATAACCGGTGGATTTTTAAATCTCCCCGTGCTATTCTATCGAATTATATTATTTATTACTTGTTTATAAAACATCGATTTCAGAATCTCAGACAATGCAACGTTTAATAAACTCGATAATTAATTAATAATTAATTGGGAAGGATATGGAAGGAAACGATCATGACATAACTTAAGGTACCATCACAACACGTTCCTGGAGGGACTGAGGAAAACTACGAATACCCCAGTCAGGAAAGCATGTCGATGGATTGATATTTTAACCGGGGTCCTCCCAAATACGAAGCGAGACATTCCCTATGATAATTCATTAATACGGGCTAGATCTAAAATGCAATGAAAAAGTGAAATGTTTCGAATTTGCATACGTCACTGGCTCTGAGGTTCCTTTATTGCAATATTTTTGATACAAATCTATTCATACAAAACTTGTCACGCCATTCACTATCTCTGCTAAATAATTCTTCTATTCATGTACCAGAACGTACAATAGCGAAATACAGGATGCTCCAAAAAGATTTATACATATATTTTATATATATATATATTTTAATAAACTAAATCATTACATACGTCAACACTGGCACTTGGTAAATATGTTAATCTAGTTCAGGTGTTTAAAATGACCACCGATGGCTTCGTGGCACAGCTGACAACCGTGAATAGCTGACAAGACTCCACCAAAGTTGATGCTGCATATACATATTTTTGAACACCCTGTATGATCGAAATAAAAGTGGTAATCGTAACGATTCTTTTCACGGTGATTTTTTTTTAAAAAACTAGATTAGAAAATAATATAAAATCCACATTAGAAGATAATATTAAAATTGATCTTTGGGAAATAAGTTTGGAGGGTGTGGATTGGATTCATCTGGCTCAGAACAGACATTTGGCACGAGATTTTTTGAAGACGGCAATGTACTTTTATTTTCTATTAGCTTTTCAAGAAGAATTTTTATTTTAATTGATTTAATTCCATGCTCCTTTGTAGAAAGATTACATCGAAAGACAAAGATTATCTTCTTATCATACTAACTAGTCTACCAAATGTAACTGTTACACGCTATATTAATTAAGCTCTTTGCTTTTACTCTCCAAGACTTACTTCCATAAAGCAGAACTTCACAAAATGTCTTCCCTTGTCTTAATCCAGTCCTTCGGCTCCTAAATCCCCCACAACGTTAACGGAAACTGCTCTTAACACTTGTTCTTGTGGAGCTAACTTTACGTAGAAAATTGCTTTACGAAAAACTAATAAAAATAAATTTTCCACCTCTCAAAAGACCCCATGGTTCATTAAGAAGTCCTGTGAACCCTATTCTGAACTTGT